TGTAGAGTGTGTAAAGTGTAGAATGCGGAGTATAAAGTGTAGAGTGTGGAGTATGGAGTGTAAAGTGTAGAGTGTGGAGTGTAAAGTGTGGAGTGTAAAGTGTGGAGTGAGGAGTGTAAAGTGGAAAGCGTGGAGTGTAAAGTGTAAAGTGTGGAGTATAGAGTGTATAGTGTAGAGTGTAAAGCGGAGTGTGGAGTGTAAAGTGTGGCGTGTAAAGTGTAGAGTGTGGAGTGTAAAGTGTGGAGTGTAAAGTGTGGAGTGAGGAGTGTAAAGTGTGGAGTGGGAAAGTGTGGAGTGTGAAGTGTGGAGTGTAAAGTGTGGAGTGTGGAGTGAGGAGTGTAAAGTGTGGAGTGTGGAGCGAGGAGTGTAAAGTGTGGAGTGTGGAGTGTGGAGTGTAAAGTGTGGAGTGGAGAGTGTATAGTGTAGAGTGTAAAGGTAGAGTGTGGTGTGTAGTGTGAAGTGTAGTGTAAAGTGTGGAGTGTAAAGTGTAAAGTGTAGAGTGTGGAGTGTAGAGTGTAAAGTGTAGAGTGTTAAGTGTAGAGTGTGGAGTGTAGAGTGTAAAGTGACGAGTGTAAAGTGTAGAGAGTGAGTGTGGAGTGAGGAGTGTAGAGTGTGGAGTGTGGAGTGTGGAGTGTGGAGTGGAAAGTGTGGAGTGTAAAGTGTAAAGTAAGGAGTGTGTAGTGTAAAGTGTGGAGTGTGGAGTGTAAAGTGTAGAGTGTGGAGTGTGGAGTGCAAAGTGTAGAGTGAGGAGTGAGGAGTGGAAAGTGCAGAGTGTAGTGTAAAGTGTGGAGTGTAAAGTCTCAGGTGAGGAGTGAGGAGTGTAAAGTGCAAAGTGTAAAGTGTGGAGTGTAAAGTGTAGAGTGTGGGGTCTAAAGTGTAAATTGTGGAGTGTGGAGTGTAAAGTGTAGAGTGTGGAGTGCGGAGCTTCCCCCATAGACACGGCGACGCCACAGGAAAACCAGAGACTCGAGACGAGACACGCGGGTGCAAAAAAACGAGCATTTCGTGCGAGACTTCCTCCAATTTTGATATTTTCCACACGTTACCAAACAGGTTGGAATGTCACAAAGTGCCACGCCTGCCACGCAAAACGACATGACAACATGCTTGGAAACCTTTGAAAAGGACATGTTTTCCAGCTTCCCCCATAGACACGGCGACGCCACAGGAAAACCAGCGACTCGAGACAAGACACGTGGATGCAGAAAAACCAGCATTTCGTACGAGATTTCCGGCAATTTTCACAGTTGGCAACATGACAAAAGGACAGGTTTTCCAGCTTCCCCCATAGACACGGCGACGCCACAGGAAAACCAGCGACTCGAGACAAGACACGCGGATGCAGAAAAACCAGCATTTTGTGCGAGACTTCCGGCAATTTTCACAGTTGGCAACACGACAAAAAGACAAATTTTGCAGCTTCCCCCATAGACACGGCGAGGCCACGGGAAAACCAGACACGCGAGAAGAGACAGGTGGGAGCACCAAAACGACCATTTCGTGCGAGACTTCCTCCAATTTTCACACTTTGCAGCTTCAAAATCGACGTTTTCCTACGAGTTTTCCTTAGAACCTGAAAATTTGCAACCTCAAAATCGATGTTTCGTGCGAGGCTTCCATCAATTTTCAGCACATGTCAGAAAATGCCACGCCTGCCACGGAATTTGCACCTTGTCACCACTTGACGCAGCCCTGCCAATGCGATTCGCAGAAAACACGCAACACGACACGTCTAAAGTGGTGCGCCTGCCACGAAAAATGACGATGGACACGTCCAAAGTGCTGCGCCTGCCACGAAAACTGCAACACATCTTCTGAAAACGTCGCAAAAGTATTGCGCCTGCCACGCAAAACGACTTTCGACACGTTCCAGAACACGTCTGAATGTCACGAAGTGCCACGCCTGCCACGCGAAACGAAGCAACAACACGTCTGAAACCTCCAAAAAGGACCACCTCTGCGAAACTTCCCATAGGCACGGCCATATGGTCCTCGCGCGGACGGTTGCGGACGGTTGCGAACGGTTGCGGACGGTTGCGACCGTGAACGCAACGTCTAGCGAACACACCCTCAACCCCCAGACCCCCAGAGTGAAACGGGAACCCTTGCTACGCATTCGGGAAAAAGGCCCACACCCCCACCCACACACCCAGACACGCGCACACGCACACGCACACAGTCATCACCACAAAGGGCGCATCTTGTGATTCGAGAAGTCACGAATCGTCGCGTGTGTAATCTCCATTGGTCACCCAACGCACGGTATTGATATGATGGTTGATCAAAATTCCTTTATCAAATGGTCGTTCTTCGCGAATAAAAAATGCTCTTTCGTGAGCTCCATGTTATCTTTCGCGGAACCCATGTTGAGCAACAACTCCTCTTATAAAGATTCGTTCAGCACCTGCCAAATCACACCAAATTATCAAGGATGACTTCAACATGCAGCTGGCATCATGGAATCCCCTTCTCAGGACAGGTTGTTATATTGATTGATTAGGCGATTTTTTTGCAAGGCTTACTGGGTCACTCCCTTCAAAATGCACTTTGGCTTTCGCACAGCGCTTCGCAGAACTTTCGCGAAAATACCCCTACTGTATCCGCAGACCCCAGCCATCAGCAGGGGGCGCGTCAGAGGAACCGCAAACACCAGGGGCCTTGGCGTTTGGCTCTCGCAGCATTTGGAGCTTGTTTCTTGAGACTTCAGAAAGGAACGCTAGGCAGTACCAGCGGCAGGTGCAAGGATGCGCTTCAAGACCATAGTATTTGGCTGTGGCGAAGCCTCACCTTCAGAAGCTTGGCTGCTACCTATGAAGGGAAAGGTAAATGTGCGGTACCATTCTCCTGCCGGACCCCCGGCCCCCCTGGCGGCAGGAGGTGGTAGCCCTGAACAAGCTGTAATGTATACAATGATAATGATTCATAATTTATAATATCCAATTTTCGCGAAACTTTCGCGAATAAACAATTCTCCTTCGCGAACTCGAAAAAAAACTTTCGCGGGGTTTTCAACGTTACATGCACGGCTTTCGCAATTAAAACTACTTACAATAATGGACCTTTAGATCAACCACCATATATACCTGGCCTACTTGAATATCTGGATTTTTCGACTGGGCGGTTGAACCGGCTTAGCGGCTTAGCCACCATGGACAACGTGGTTCAAAGCGAACCCTGGATGGTGACACACGCACAGCTATTCAACAATATTACAACCAGTCGGTGAAAACTTAGGCAGGTAGGTGATCCCGGCGTCCCAGGGTCATTTCACTGTGAAGTCAGCAGTCAGCAGTGCCTTCGTTGGCCTAACCAAAATCTAAGATTGTTTGTCGCGCGCTTGCTGACACTTCTTTGAAACAGGTGTCGACTCTCTCTCTCTCTCACACACACTTGCTCAGAACTGTCATTGCGAATTCTGTTGTGGAGTGCATCTGACGTGCAAAAACAATCCAGCTACAGCTGACAGGAACAGGAGGGTGTTTGGTCTGGAGTGAAAGGAATATTCTTCCGTCGCCACCTTGAAGAATGGAATAAAATCAATAAGCCAGGAAGAACTCCGAAATATAAGCAGAAAATTGGAGTGGACAAGAGATTCACCGCAGTCTCAGATTTCGCCAACTGCACAGAAAGCTAGAAGTCACCTTCATCCGTTCCTGTGCTGAATTCAAAAATCCTGATGTGATTCTCGTTGAAAATGGCATGGTGGTACTTGGGTTGGCCACACCCCATCAAGATTCAAAAATTACAGGTACGTTTGCACAGCAACTTGGATGGGCCTTCGTTGGCCCATGCCATCCAAGTGCCCATGGGCCCCCTGCGAAACTTAGAAGTTTACATCTCTTCAGATGGTTCACACACACACACACGTGCGCGCAATACATCATGCAAAACAAAAATCGGCTCGCGACATCCATGTAACTATTGGGCTGAAAGCAACCTTGCACATGTCTCAGCACAGTTGTAAAAGCAGGACTCTTGCAGCAAAACACCAAAGAAGGCGGAATGCCGGACACCAGAAACCTACACGGCCCAACAAGGCCAAGCCTGACCTACGTAAGCGCAAAGATGCACGATGCACGCCAGGCCGCTAGACATCCCAAGACCGACGAAGGGAGATGGGATACATTTCAATAAGAAGGTAATCTCAGAGTGGGAAGGTCTGGCATGAAGTGACACCTTCAACCTCTTCTGTCTGGGTAACAGAAAACAAAACCTTATTTGTTCCAGTAGTTGCTGGTTAGTCACACATAATTATACTTGAAGGGTTGTCGCTTTGTCCCCAGGGCAATGACCACATGAGTCCCACCAGCAGGGAGCGATGGCATCAAAATCGTGCTGGGAACTTCCCCAACCGCATGGGCCCAAAGCAACCTGATGCCTATCTCAGCAGCGCTGAGAAATCAGGAAATCACGTCTGTAGACGCCCACACAGGAATTGCAAGTACAGTATTTAACGGGGCCCCAGTTGCCTGCCTTTTTGTGAAAAATCTGCGTTGCTGCACTAAAAGGTTACATTCGACAATGAATACATTTATATACTGTAAACAAGTCTATTCACATGCCATGCCGCGCTCCTGAGAAGCACCGATGCAGTTTACCTGCGGGCCACGGTCACTTTGAATGCAAAATGTCTTGCAGAACTTGGCATGTCTTGGTGTCACTTGGCACATCTTTGCAGCTTCTGCCTTCTGCTCTGCACCTGGAGCAAGTCAGTTGAGCGCACATAGAGAATCATAGAGAACCGCTCGAACCGGTATCACATATAACTAAGCTTATTCCTCATTATTCCTCATTCAGTTGGATGTGCTATGAGCTGCACTTGGGATGCGGACACAGCGGTTCCAACATGCTGAGGCTGGCGGTTCTACGGCCTGAAACTTGCTGCGCACTGTTCAAATCAAATTGTTTCAGATAATTACTGCATCAAATTGTTGCTATCCAATGCTATCATCACCTGTTCCAAAGCCAAATTTAGATGCTTCAATGATCTGTGCGATTCCTTTTCCTCGCATCGAAATTCGGCCAATTGAATAAGTCATCTACACTTCGGTCAAGTCTACCCTTGCCAAATCACCACGCTTGCCACAAACCAATTCATCTCAAAAAAGGACCACTTGCCATGTGCAGCGTTGAAACTGCTCTCAGTACGGGCTGAACTTGAACGGGAACGCCTCAAGTAGGCAGGCACTGTTTTTCGACTTCATATCCTAAATCGTTGTTCCAAAGACCGTGACGGACCGTGACGGTACATGACAATACCCTTGCTTTTTGGACTAGGTCTCAACTGTAACTCTTGCAAAACTAGAATTGGTAATAAGTTCTTAGTAAGAAGCACCAGGGGCATTTGCTGCCACACGTGCAGCAGACTTTGAAACCTACAAGAATTAAACACTTTCTGAGTTAGCCCCTATACATAAACTGAGTCTTGGCTTTCTCACCATTCCAGAAATCGAACTTTGGATCAGAAAAGCGAATATCTGACAGCGCCGAGTTCAGTTGGCCATGATGTGGTGACAGGGGGGAGCTCCAGAGCGGGCGCAGTCATTTCTTTTTTCCCGAGAGCGTCTGAGCGCAGGGTTCTTCCAATAGTGGGGGTCTGTATCTCATCTTCTCATCTTCACACCTTCTCATCTTCACATCTTCTTCACACCTTCTCATCTTCACATCTTCTCTCACACCTTCTCATCTTCACATCTTCTCTCACACCTTCTCATCTTCACATCTTCTCTCATTCTTCACACCTTCTCTCACACCTTCTCATCTTCACATCTTCTCTCTCTCTCACTCTCTCTCCTCTTTCCTCTCTCCTTTCTCTCTCTCCTCTTCTTTCCTCTCTCCTTTCTCTCTCTCCTTTCTCTCTCCCTTTTCTCTCTCTCGCCTTCTTTATCTTTCTCTCTTTAGGCCGAGGGTGGTGCCAGCGGGGAGTCACGAAACGTAAGCCCTTTCGCACGAAATGATGGTCGATCGGCAAAAACTGAGGTAAAATTGCGATTTTACTTGCCCCGGAGCAACCCTTTCGCACGAAATGAAGGTCGATCGGCGAAAACTGAGGTAAAATTGCGATTTTACTTGTGCCGGAGCAATCCTTTCACACGAAATGATGGTCGATCGGCAAAAACTGAGGTAAAATTGCGATTTTACTTGTGCCGGAGCAACCCTTTCGCACGAAATGATGGTCGATCGGCAAAAACTGAGGTAAAATTGCGATTTTACTTGTCCTGGAGCAACCTTTTCGCACGAAATGAGGGTCGATCGGCGAAAACTGAGGTAAAATTGCGATTTTACTTGTGCCGGAGCAACCCTTTCGCACGAAATGAGGTTCGATCGGCGAAAACTGAGGTAAAATTGCGAGTTTACTTGTCCCCGAGCAACCCTTTCGCACGAAATGAGGGTCGATCGGCGAAACTGAGGTAAAATTGCGATTTCACGTGTCTGTGTGTAAAAGCGTCCGTGTGTAAACGTGTTAGTGTGTAAAAGCGTCTGTGTGTAAAAGCTTTTGTGTGTAAAAGCGTCTGTGTGTAAACGAGTCTGTGTGTGTAAAAGCGTCTGTGTGTAAAAGTGATTGTGTGTAAAACGTCTGTGTGTGTAAAAGCGTCTGTGTGTAAAAGTGATTGTGTGTAAAAGCGTCTGTGTGTAAAAGCGTTAGTGTGTAAAAGCTTTTGTGTGGAACTGTGTGTAAAAGCGACTGTGTGTAAAAGTGTCTGTGTGCAAAAGTGTCTGTGTGTAAAAGCATCTGTGTAAAAGCGTATGTTTGTAAAAGCTTCTGTGTGTAAAAGCTTCTGTGGGTAAAAGGTTTGTGTGTAAAAGTGTCAGTGTAAAAGTGTCTGTGTGTAAAAGCATCTGTGTGAAAGCGTATGTGTGTAAAAGCTTCTGTATGTAAAAGCTTCTGTGGGTAAAAGCTTTGTGTGTAAAAGGGTCTGTGCGTAAAAGGGTCTGTATGTAAAAGCGTCTGTGTGTAAAAGCTTTTGTGTGTAAAAGTGTTTGCGATGCAAACTATTGTCTTGCACTTCTGCTATTTTGTCTTAATACCTCTCTTCTCGACTGCATATAACACATCTTTAATATTTTGTTTCTAATATGGTGTCTCCATACTAACAAGAGAAGACCCTGCTCCTCTACGCTCTCGGGCCATCCGTCGTCTAGTTTGATAATGGAATGCAGCATTCTTCCTGCAGGCGCCTCTACTGAGGGTTCGCATCGTTTATTCCCCACCTGCCAGGTGAGAGTTGTTAGATTTTATCAGAGTTGTTCTTCTCCTCCTCCTCCTCCTTCCTCCTCCTTCCTCCTCCTTCTCCTCCTTCTCCTCCTCCGCGCCCTCCTCCTCTTCTACCACCTCTGCCTCCACTTCCACGTCCACTGTTGCCTTGCCAACTCTTGGCCAAGCTCTTCGCCAACTTCGGAGCTCAGTGCGCACTGCTGGACCTCAACCTGGGACCTTCCCAGCTCAGTGCGCACCGCTGGACCTCAACCTGGGACCTTCCTAGCTCAGTCCGCACCGCTGGACCTCAACCTGCGACCTGCCGAGCTCAGTGCGCACCGCTGGACCTCAACCTGGGGCCTTCCGAGCTCAGTGCGCACCGCTGGACCTCAAAAGCCAGATAGAATGCCAGAAGATATGCCAGATAGAATGCGAGAAGATATGCCACATAAAATGCCATAAGATTTGCCAGAAGATATGCCAGATAGAATGTTAGAAGACATGCCAGATAGAATGCCAGAAGGTATGCCAGATAGAATGCCAGATAAAATGTCAGATAGAATGCCAGAAGATATGCCAGATAAAGCGCCAGAATGTTTGCCAAATAGAATGCCAGAAGATTTGCCAGATGATATGCCAGAAGATATGCCAGATGGAATGCCAGAAGATATGCCAGGATGGAATGCCAGAAGATATGCCAGAACATCTACCAGAAGATATGCCAGGTAGAATGCCAGAAGCTATGCCAGATAGAATGCCAGAAAAAATGCCAGAAGATATGTCAGATAGAATGCCAGAAGATTTGCCAGTAACAAAACCTATAGATGTCATGGTGGGGATAACCCGAAGTAAAGTATATAATTTTCTTGATTTTCTAGAGAGTCTCATGATGCAGGCAATCTTGGGACTTTCTCATCTTTGTCATAATACAAAAAAGACCGTTTCCATCGCAATTGTGTAGGCCAATTGCATCAACAATCATAAACTTTTACTAGGTCCTATAGGTGTGCGGACCTTTCCAGTACTGTACTATTTTACATCTCGCTCAGCCCAGAAAGGGACACCTTCATTTTTGCAACACCAAAAACAAAATTAATTTGCCACACACAAATTTGATCATGTTCAGCACCAACAAACTTTAATTTTGAACACCAATCAGAATAATCACATCCATTCACATTCACATCCGGTTTTTCTTCGCCCTGGTGTGCATTTGAATCTCTCGTTTTGGTTTGTAGCGTGTTTGCGGCATTTCGAGTTGCAACCCCTTCTTTGCAGGGTTCGAGTCGAAACCTGCTGTTTGCACAGTATTTGCAACATTTTGGAAGTAACATCTACAATTTACATGGTATTTGCTGTCTTTGAAAATGAAACATGTTCTTATTTTATCTTATTTTGTGCTTTTGAAAATATATATCCTTGCTGTTAGTTTAATCTACGTAGCGCAGCATACTGGCGATTGAATCGTCAATTTGAACATATTTGAACGGTATTTGCAGCGTTTTCTCCTGCAAGACAACCCCTCTTGGGCGGAACTTCGCCGAGAGTTTCATTGTGGGGCAGGCATGTTAGGGTTTATTGTTGGTGTGGGTTTTATTTAGGGTTAGTTATAAGATGTTGTAAGGTTGTTTTAATAAGGGTTGTCTCAGAATAATGTTTGTCTGTTTCAAAGTCTACTTAGCGTTTTTTGATGTTTTTTGGTTGTTATTCAAGGTTGTTTATTTTGGTGTTGGGTTGGGGTTTATTGTGATTTATTCCGGATTCGTTTAAGGCTAAGGTTTTTATGTAGGTTTGATTTGTTCAATGGGTTTGAGGGTTCAGGCACTTTGTCGAAGCAAGCAAGAATGTGTTCAAGGCATGGTTAAGGTCCAAAAACCCACGAACCCAGACCCCCCAAAAATAAACCCAGAAGTCTGGAAACCAACAAACCCAGAAACCTTGAAAACTAGAAATGAACTAATTCTTACGTCGGGAAATAACCCCGAATTCCACCCACAAACACTTATTGGGATTCCAGGACTATATACTATAAATATATAAAAATCATTTCACATCACTCAAGTGACCGAGAAGCCAAGAAGTCTTATCTGAAAGTTTTATCTTGTCTTGTTTTGTCTTGTCTAGCGCTTGCCATCACGTTACAAGCAACCCAACGTTCAACAGTGAGTTTCCACACAGATGGGTATACTGTAACAGCATCGGTGTTCACTTTTTCATTCCCACCCTCCCTCCTGTTACAGCACTCAACTTTCCTTTTTGCTGCTCAGCTCGGAATTTGGTCCGCACTAGTTTGCAGCTGTGCCTTCCAGGTTGCAACCTGGATACCATCCAAATTTCCAACCGATCCATCTGATCTCGCTTCTGGAGGTTTATATCTTTAATTGGTGCGCCCACTCTCTGGCTCCTTTGGCACCATCGCGCTCCCCTTTGTGACTTTGAAGCATGTCTTGCATGGGGCGGATTTCCATGTTGGTGTTTTTGTGAGTTCGACCTTCACGTTGCGTCTTGCGAAGTTCCACCCACAAATGGTGGCCCAGCTGTCCAGCGGTATTCCCCATGCTGCTTGGCCCACTATGCGCTGTGTCCATTTTCTCCTTGAATTGGACATTGCGTACACAGGGCCTTGCTGTTCATCATCAACAAATGGCTTGATCGTTTTTTCATTTGCATGCAGGAAGAGCTGCGTCACGATGCGGAGAGGCGGCTGCGGCTTTGGGCTTCAATGCCCCTCCGCTTTGCCCGCTCTTTCGGCACTTTGTCCTGTTCCGGTTCTTCTCTAGCCACTCCCAGGTTCATGGGTATCTCCGTCATCGCTTCTTCAATGTATCTGAACGCTGCGGATGATTTCCGCCTTCCAAGGAACTGTCTGGAATGTACGCTCAGGCCTTCTCTTGCGTAGTTCATTGCCGCTGATCTCCTAGCTGAGTGGCCTGTCATCTCACTGTCCAAGTGGTTAGAACTCTGCACATCCCGGAGCCCTTCTTCACCCTCTTCTCTTCCACCATGACTATTACGTCTTCTCTTCCGCCATGACTAATATGTCCTTGGCCAAGATGTTTGAGGCTTCGATAGCTCTCAGCATCCAGACACAGGCCCAGGCGTATGATCATGCGACTCTTGCCGGTTCTTTCTCCGCCACCTTCCTCCTTTCCCATTCTTCTTTACTCACGGTCCTTGGTTGAGCCTCCTTGGCTCTGACTTCTGGGCCCTTGTCTCTTTGCATCGCCCGCCTGCATGTGCTCATGCGTCTATCCAGCTGAACTTCCCAGCCGTGGCCAGCTTCTATGTGCAGCGCTTTTGCTTCGGCCAGGTACTGGTCTCCGGCCTTCATCCCAGTCGCACCCAAGACCGCTGCTATAACTCCGCGATTGGCTCTGTAGTCAGTGGGAGGTGTTCGCTGGTTACTTTCTACCGTATCTCCATGACTTTCTTTCTCTTGGTATTCTTGGTGGCCAGCGTTGAACGGGCGTAGAACTTCTTGACAAATCCCATTTTGGCGTTTGCACGCCGAGATTTGTCTTTCAACTTGTGCTCTACCTCCTTCCACTGCGCTTTGCCCTCCGGCAGCTTTCTTTACCTCCTCGGACTTGCGGCTGCTATCATCGCACCCGTGGCTGATCCCAGGTCTCCCCTCTCGTGCTCTTGAGGATGTCTGCGGACGCTTCTTCTTCCTCTCGGAGATTTGGTCCCCACAGTGACGAGGTTGGTTTGTGGATTGATGTGTCAAGGGATGCCCTGGAGCTCTTATCTCTGTCATGCTGAGATAGCGTGCGGATGCGTGCGGACATTGGCTCTATATTCGAAAGCATCCCACGCCCCACGCCCTGTTGTTCCATTTATTGGAGTTGTTCTTGGGCTCCGTTGTCTCATCTGGCTCCTTCCCATGATGGCTTCCTTTGCGAGCTTCAGCCAAGGCCCGCATTTTCTGATAGAGCCCATACGTGCGCCGCTCGCTTCCATTCCTAACTGGCATATAGCCGCGGCACACATGCTCTAAACAACGTGCCAGCCATGAACATCAGGCTGAGCAGGACCCATGCGCCCGGGTTGTGGTGCGGAGCGGGCTCCCCGGGGGGCCGGCACAATCAGTGCAGTTTCCATGGCTGGACACAAATTGCTGCAGAGTTGACACCGTGATATGCAGACAGTGCACAACTTAGGTGGGCATGCCATGAAGTTCTGACGTCTATGTGACATGAAGTGCTCCCAGCCGCCCTGGGTGGTGACCATTCTGTCGCAGCCTGCGTTTTGCCGGCTGAGAATGATCACAGGCAATCATACACCCCGTTTGGGTGTGGCAGCGACTGGACCCACGGACTGCCCTGGGCTCCTGGCCGCTCGATCAGCCAACCTTGAAGGCCAGTCAGCCTGTGTTCAGCTTCCCTGACACGTGCTGGGGCAACAGCTAGGTGATGTTGGCCTTTTCCGACAACAAGCCCATCTCCTTGAGCGATTTTGTCGCATGCCAACTTTTTGGCCATGCGCAAGGCTACGCTGGCTACGCTGCTGTCTCACCTGATGACTCGGTCCACCTTGGACTTTCGCGGACCAAATCTGCAATGCACCGCCAAGCCCTTGTGCTCAGTGCCGACTGGCGCCTCGAATGCTTCCAGTATGTGCCATCCCTGGCCCACTCTGTGGATCAAGACACCTCCGATGCCTCGGATGAAAGCGTCTGTGACCACTCCCCAGAGACTGGCTCCTTTTCGATGAGCGTCTCACGTCCAGCCGTTTCACTGTTACCAAGCCGTTCTTGGGTCTTTGGTCTCTAGCGCGCTTTTGTGCCTGCTCGAATTCCAGTCCTCCTGCAGGACCTTTGTCAACACTAACACTGCGTAAAGCGACCTCACCGTCCAACGCATTTGGCGACCCATGCCAGCTTTCCCAAGAACGACCTCAGATCACGGGTGGCAATCATATTCCCCACCCAACTGGACAGGGTCTCCTTTATCTCGCGGGGCATCTGGTGTGCCCAGAACGATCTCCTTGGCATGGAGTTCAAAGGTTGTTCCAATCCATTGGACTCTCCGTCCTCTTTCACCCTTGGGCATTGCCACCTGAACCCCGAAGGCTGCCAGCACGCACAATACTTTGGACAGCTGTAGGTTCCGAAGTTCGGGGGATCCTCTGAGCATCAGGGCTACGCTGTCTATGTAGACCTGGACTTGCCCAGCTGCAGGATGGGAGAGGGACTGCAGTAGTCTGCCAATGGCAGCACTGAGACGTCCCATGACCGATGGTGCTGCTTTGAATCCAAACAGCATCGCAACCCAAAGCAAGGCTGTTCCGTTCAGCTCATTGTGGTGCACTCCGACGTGACAGAATGCATCTTGCAGGTCCAACAGGATGAACTCTACATCGGATTCTTGAAACGACCTCGTCCCTCGCAATATGGACCTCTGCAATCCCTCTCCCAAGAGCTCATGTTCTCGGGCTCTCATGACTCATGACTCGCAAGCTGGTGACGATGTCTTGCGCTCGAGGTAAGATTATCTTCTCTTCCTGGCTCGTTCATTGCCAAGGGACGTTCGCATGTCGATCGTGGCCCTCCTCTTGGTGGAGCCATTAGCCTTCTGTTTGATTTTGAGGGCTAGGCATGATGCCTTTCCCTCACAGAAACGTTGGCGGACAGTTTTCAGTGGAAGGATTTTCACAAATCCCTTCTCTATGTAACTGTCCACTTCGATCATGGCCTCGTCCTTCTGCGATTCGACTGATCCATAGTTAACTGAGTGCGGCCAGCTCGCTCATATCGGTTCTGGTGTTCAAGGGCTCCTGTGGCCCGACTGCCGAGCAAATGTTCGAAGGCGGCACTTGACACAGTCCATGCCAAGTGGAACACTTTCTAGTGCATTGGCCTGCACGGATTCCTTGCGAGGGTGATGCCGTCGGTTGTGACAACCTCCAACAGATCAGACAATCTGTCCGTGCACTTCTGCAAGGTCTCCTGGTCGAGCCCTGCCTCCCTGGAACCATACCTCTGGGCTGCTTCCAGCGCCTGGGGGTTCTCTGCAATGAAGTCCAACCATGCTGCATGAATTTCTTCTCTAACCCTGCGGACTTGACTGAGTTTTGATGCTGACACCGCCGGGCTTCTCATGTCGCCTATGGCAAACTCGTTCTCTGATTCCCTCAGCTGTTTCCTTGAGGGTCCAGTTGATGAGGACAGCAACGTCTCGCCCTCCACCTCGTTCGCCTCCGTGGCTTTTGTCTCCGCTCGTTGCCCCTTGGGGACGGGCTTGCGTCCTCGTAGATCCGTTTCCTTCTCCTCTCTTCATTTTCCAGCCACTTCACCTGCAGTTGGCTAATCATGTCGGACTTCTGCTGCATCTGAAACCTCAGCCATTCAAGGTTGAGAATCCGTTTCCAAGTTTCGACGACCTTGGCGGCGATGACATTCGCCAAATCTTCAGGGCACGCTCCTGCGTGCAGCCTCCGTGTTCTTCCCCACGACCGGGACATGCTGCACCCAAGGTTGGCACTTGCAGATGCGCGCCAAGCTCGCCATGTTCTCGGGCTTCACTTCCCCGCCCACCTGGCAGGTTTGTGCCACCTGCGACGCAGCTTGGTCTGATATGCACAGGTGTTGAATTCCACGGAGGACGACTGTGTGTTGCCCAGGCCGTCCTTTATCCCAGGAAGGTCCCATGCTGAACCTGTGTTTTCTGCTCCTGGCGGGTTCTCCAGCGTTGACACTTCTGGCACTGCTCGTCGACGACACGTCTTCACCTGCTTCTCATGCAGCCATGCGGATCTCGTCGCCATGAGGGTCCCTTCATCTGTTTCTGTTTGCTGTGAAGGTGTGTTGCGAGGGAGTCCAAAGATATGTGCAGCGCTCCGCACTGGCAAGGGCCCTCCTGGAGAGCCGCGCCACCTCACCCTCGAGAAGCTTGAGCACGGGGAAAAGCCACTGTAATAGCCTTCCCACTCCCCGTCTGTGATAGAATTTTTCATCTCATCGTAAACGGCAGGGCTGGCCAGGTTGAGCTCAGCGTCCTTCTTCCTGTCCAACGCCTCCACATAGACCTCCAATCTGGCCTTACTCTCTTCCGCGTTGATCGACAGGCCCAGCTGGTCTATCTCACCTGAAAACATGTGCAGATAGCGGCTAGCGGAACGGCCTGTTCTTCCTGAACTCTTCGAAGCTTCCGCTTCTTTCCAATGCCTTCCTCACTCGGTCGGCAAGCCAAGGTTCATCTCCTTTGATCTGATCGCCTCCCCTCTTCTCACAACTTCCCCAGGTGGACCTTTGTCTCCCTCGTTCTTTTGTCCATCTCCTCCTGCAGCAACGTCATGTGGAACTTTGTCTCCATCTGTCATCCGTGGAACTGCCTGCATGCGCCGTGGCAGGTATGGCCGCCCTCTTCCCCTTCAAAATCGGGGGACAGGTCCATAGTTTCACCCTCCCTGTTCCCCCTGCCGCTGGGCAGTGGGGGAAGAGTTGCTGCAGCCAAATGTCACGGCACTCAAAGTCAACCTGACCACTGAACCCTTGCGTTTGACATCAGCCTATGCAAACGACAGCAATGGCAGGTGACCCAAATCAAATTCGAACCAAATTGCATGTAAAATGGCATGTGCACATGTGTGCAAATGAAATGACTGACATCACATGACATGCAACTGATATGAAAACGATGTCAACCCTTCCCCCGGATTTTCACAGGCCGCTACAGGTTCACCCGGACTTGCAGTCTGCGTCACGGTGAGATGGAGAGAGGCAAATGCGGCACTTGTGGATCCGTTTCACGGCTCCTTTGCAGTCGCCTCCCGGAGGGACATCGGCGCAAGGTCCCTTTCCAGCTGACCAGCTGAAGCAAAGCTCTAAGCCGGACTAATCAATTGCTTTCCGCTTCCCTTTTCCTTTCCCAGGTGCTCCGCCTTTCGGTCCGCCTCCAGAATTAAGACCCAGTTGCCGTCGAGCTGTGTCTCGTAAACTCTTCTCGATCTGCAGCAAGCCTCCTCTTTTGAGCCTGCCGTCTGTCCCTATTGGACTGCGTCTTTCTGCCGTCTCCTCCACCTTGGTTCGACTCCATTGCTTTGTGCTCCATTGCTTTGTGGTCTCCTTGCATGACCTCTATGGACTGCTGCCGCGGTGGCCACTGTCGGAGCTCCTCTGCCTCCTGCCGCTGTCAACGCAGCTGCTGGGTGATGTGCCCGTTCTGCCCAGTATTCAGCGTCTGCAGCTAGTTGTGCAAACACGCATGACCACGGTTTGGCGGGATCCCAGTCTCTTGGCACCTGACGATTCTGGGGGGCGTCTGTCGCCAAGCGTCTCCTCAGTCATTTTCCAAACGTTCAGCACGAGCACCATCATCTGCAAGGTAAATCAATCCCCAGCATCGAGGCAGTTGAGTGTTCAGCTTCCCGATCTGTCTCGCGTAGGCCTCCATCGATGCCAGGGAGCATACATTATAAGCATAATGCAGGCTGCACGGAAAACATTCCATGAGGCCTTCCAAGCCACCAAACTGCTGGGGCCCGGCAGGTCTTTCTGCAGGTATGAGCCATTTCCTAATGATGTGTAAACTTTGAACACGGCTCATACGCCGCTCAGTAGGGTGATCTGTTCTCTATGTGTACCCTCTTGTGCAAGGCTGCAAAGTTGGGCTGATGTAGGCTCCTCTGATTCATCTGGCTGCGACCCCATCGTGACGATATAGTTCTGGTACCACCTGTCCACCTCGGATGCACTGGGCAGCAACAACTCGCTGTCATCCTGCTGATCGATGAGTGCGTTCATCCTCAGCACCCTTTCTTTAACACTTTAACACTGTTCCCAGTCCTTCGTTTTCTTGTTCTGGTGGAGGTGTGTCTCGATTGTCCCTCCGATGCCTCTTGCATGCTGTTGTTAAGGGTCCACGCCTATGACGTCTATGAAGTCTTCCTCGCGAACATCTGACTGAGCTGCCAGCACTCTCCTTGCTAGCCGCTCGGCTGGAGTAGCCTGGATCGGCGTGAATGGCCCGGAAGCCGTCATTGCGTTGCCACAGGCTGTGATCAATGCCACCTGTGGAAGGGCAGCCAAGAGGCGATAGTCAGCCCCTGGACTGCCAACTTGGGCCTCGAAGGCCTCCCAAACGGGCTCGTCCACGTTGAAGTGGTCCAACAAGTCATCTAAGCTTCTCATCTGTGTCATCGAAGCCCAGGTCCCAAAAAGCGCCGCCATGCTGCTCGCGGCTAGCTCTCCGACCCGGGTCACCACATTGGCACCTGTCAAAATTTCAGATGCCACCTTGAGCCAAAATTGGCATCTGCTCAAGGTGACCCTCCCTCCACCCAATTGGTTTCACACCTGCACTTGTTAGTCAACATGGTATGCCTCTCAATAATGTTTTTCAGTTTAGTTGGGTGCTGAATGTAGCCCAAGGGTGGACAAGCACTTGGACATGCATGATTTGGGAGTTGCACAGCTGTTGAAAACTGATGCCGAGAGTCTTTCCATCATGGCTCTATACGAGCACTGGTCTGCCAAAACCCATATAGTTCGACTATCTTTGACTTGACTGTCCTGTGATGTCCTGTGATGTCCTGTGACATCTGTGAGTGTATATCCGTGATTATCCGTGTATTGGGTCATACTCGGACTCGATCATATTCGCAGCTGCAGACTCCAGGCATCTCCAGGCCTTGTTGTAAGTGAAGAGGCGTGCCTTGATCCAAGTGTGCATCACTGCCTCGGTCACTCCGTTTTGTTAGAATTCCGGGCCCCCAGTGCTGAACAATAGCTGAGACTTGAGACTTTGAGCATCTTCAGAGTCAGTGAGTCAGTAGAATCCGTATAATTGAAAGCTAAATTCACGTCCGAATGACCCCCGAACATTCGGAGAATACACTCAGCAACTGCCTGGCGTGGATCAACGTCTTCAGGCTGACGTGGAACCAGGGCATTGAAGGCATAGTCAACCTGGCGAAGGGGCTGGGGTCTTGAGCCAATTGAGTCAATGCAGTATGAGTTGTCAAAGGAAGTTTAGGGGGAGAAACTTCCGTGTTACGGACTTTTAGTACTGTCAGGGAAAGAGTTAGTCAAAGAAAGAGTTAGCAAAGAAAGAGTTCGTCAGGGAAAGAGTTAGTCAAAGAAAGAGTTAGTAAAGAAAGAGTTCGTCAGGGAAAGAGTTAGTCAAAGAAAGAGTTAGTCAGGGAAAGAGTTAGTCAAAGAAAGAGATAGTGAGGAAAAGAGTTAGTCAAAGAAAGAGTTAGCAAAGAAACAGTTAGTCAGGGAAAGAGTTAGTCAAAGAAAGAATGTGTTCAACAAAGAAACCAGTTAGTCAGGGAAAAGAGTTAGTCAAGAAAGAGTTGTGAGGGAAAAGAGTAGTTCCAAAGAAAAGAGTTTTGTGTTAGTGAGGGAAAGAGTTGTAGTCAAAGAAAGAGTAGTCAGGGACTTATGAGGTAGTTCAAAGAAAGAGTTTAGCAAGGAAAGAGAAAGAGTTTTTCGTAGGGAAAGAGTTTAGTTTCAAAGAAAAGATGTTAGTCAAAGAAACAGTTAGGCAGGGGAAAGATTAGTCAAAGAAGAAACAGTTAGTCCAGGGAACACCGGGAACCAGCCCAGGAAAGAGTTAGTCAAAGAAAGAGTTAGTGAGGGAAAGAGTTAGTCAAAGAAAGAGTTAGTGAGGGAAAGAGTTATTCAAAGAAAGAGTTAGCAAAGAAACAGTTAGTCACAGAAAGAGTTAGTCAAAGAAAGAGTTCGTCAAAGAAACAGTTAGTCAGGGAAAGAGTTAGTCAAAGAAAGAGTTAGTGAGGGAAAGAGTTAGTCAAAGAAAGAGTTAGTGAGGGAAAGAGTTAGTCAAACAAAGAAAAGATTTAGTCAGGAATATTAGGTAGTTTCACGAAGAGTTAGCTAGCGTGAGCAAAAGACAGAGTCGTCAGGGGGAAAACGAGTAGTTCAAAAGAAACAGTTAGTCAGGGAAAGAGTTAGTTAAAGAAAGAGTTAGTCAAAGAAAGAATTAGTCAAAGAAACAGTTAGTCAGGGAAAGAGTTAGTCAAAGAAAGAGTTAGTCAAAGAAAGAGTTAGTGAGGGAAAGAGTTAGTCAAAGAAAGAGTTAGTGAGGGAAAGAGTTAGTCAAAGAAAGAGTTAGTGAGGGAAAGAGTTAGTCAAAGAAAGAGTTAGTGACCGGCGAAAAGACCCCCGTTAGTCAAAGAAAAACCACCACAAGGGGGGGGAAGGAAAGAGTTAGTCAGGATATATGAGGTAGTCAAAGAAAGAGTTAGCAAAGAAAGAGTTAGTCAAAGAGAGAGCAAAGAAAGAGTTAGCAAAGAAAGAGTTCGTTAGGGAACGAGTTAGTCAAAGAAATTGTTCCCTCACTGTAACTGGGATTGCAAGTGGTGCTGGTGGAGGAGTTGCCGATGGAGTTTTGAAGGAAGTCTCGCACGAAATGCGTTTTTGAGAGATAGCAGATGCACGAAACCCTATGTTTTTCAATACAAAGTCCGTCCCCGAACCTCGATGATCTACCTGTGCGGTGCGACGGTTGCGAGACGGTCTCGTGTGTGGTCGGATCATTCTCGGATCATGGTCGGATCATTCTCGGACCATGGTCGGATCGGTTCCGCACTGTAAATGGGGTTTCAAGTGTTTTTCGTGCATGCGCGGTCGACAGAATTCCATTGTGATTTGCAACTGTAGGATCGTTCCCGCAATGTAAGTGGGATTGCAAGTGGTGCTGGTGGATGAGTTGCCGCTGGAGTTTTGAAGGAAGTCTCGCACGAAATGCGTTTTTGAGAGATAGCAGATGCACGAAAGCCTATGTTTTTCCATACAAAGTTCGTCCCCGAACCTCGATGATCTACCTCTGCGGTGCGACGGGTGCGAGACGGTCTCGTGTGTGGTCGGATCATTCTCGGATCATGGTCGGATCATTCTCGGACCATGGTCGGATCGGTTCCGCATTGTAAATGGGGTTTCAAGTGTTTTTCGTGCATGCGCGGTCGACAAAATTCCATTGTGATTTGCAACTGTAGGATCGTTCCCGCAATGTAAATGGGATTGCCAGTTGTGCTGGTGGATGAGTTGCCGATGGAGTTTTGAAGGAAGTCTCGCACGAAATGCGTTTTTTTCTCCATTTTGGCGCTAACGATTTTCCTTCTAAAAATCATTTTAAAAAGTGCTTCAAAATCGCCTTTTTTTCCCTCTGGCGTCGAGATCCGGTTTTGGAGCTACAATTTCCGACGCCGTTGCGCGTAGTTCTATTGTGTTTTGCAACTCAGTCTCTGCAGATCGCATTGTAATGGCTGCGTCAAGGTTGCTTCGTGCTGTGGCTGCATGCGTAATACCATTGTCTTTTGTAGCTGGATCTCGTCAATCGTCTTGGAGTGGCTGCATGAAGGCTACGAAATGGATTTGTTAGCAGATTTGCTCCATTTTGGCGCTAGTGATTTTCTTTCTAAAAATCCTTTTAAAAAGTGCTTCAAAATATACCTGTTGGAATTCCCCTGCTAACATGGACTCCTGCATTCTTTAGACAAAAAACGGCGGTCCACCTTGCACTACTGAAATGGCACATCTAAAGAATGCCAACCCAGGGATATCCAGGGATCAAGGGGGTCTAAGACCATCTAAAAAATCATGGCCCAGGCAACCAACTACAAAAAGATACAAAAAATACAAATACAAAAGCAGAACTCTAAAAAATAGGGAGTCCATGTTAGCCATGTGGATGTCAACCACTATAAAATTGTCCTTGTTAGGAAATGCATGAAAGTTGTTGTCATGGTTGCAACCTGCTTGATTCATCTGTGATGCAAACAGTGGCCGGCGCAGAACAGCAGTTTTAGCACATTGCAAAAATTCAATCAGCTTGTCTATTCCCTCTCAAAATGCCCTCTCTAAAAAATCCTGACCCAGGAAGCCTTTGCAAAAAATGGGGTGTCCGGGTTCGCCATGTGGATTGCAACCACTTTTTAGCAAAAAAAAAACGTTTTTTGCGACAACCCGGGTTGTCCCATTCTTTAGTGGAAATTCCAAGGGGGATTTCAAAATCGTCTTTTTTTTCGCTCTGGCATCGAGATCCGGTTTTGGAGCTACAATTTCCGACGCCATTGCGCGTAGTTCTCTTGTGTTTTGCAACTCAGTCTCCGCAGATCGCATTGGAATGGCTGCGTCAAGGTTGCTTCTTGGTTTGGCTGCATGCGTAATGTCTTTTGCAGCTGGATCTCGTAAATCGTCTTGGACTGGCTGCATGAAGGCTGCGAAATGGATTTGTTAGCAGATTTTCTCCATTTTGGCACTAGTGTTTTTTTGTTGCACGTAGGTTTAGAGCGGTGGGAAGTGTGGGGCGTAAAGAGTGCAGTGTGAAGTGTGAAGTGTGAAGGAAGCAGTGGGAAGTGAAAAGTGTGAAGTGTGAAGTGTGGAGTGTGAAGTTTCAGTTTGGAGTGCGAAGAGCGCAGTGTGAAGTGTGAAGTGTGAAGTGTGAGGTTTGGAGTGTGAAGGAAGCAGTGAGAAGTGAGAAGTGTGAAGTGTGAAGTGTGGAGTGTGAAGTTTGAAGTTTGAAGTTTGGAGTGCGAAGAGTGTAGTGTGAAGTGTGGAGTGTGGAGTGTGAAGACTTTGCTTCGTCTCTCGCTGAAAAAATCAAACGGTTGTCGAGGGAAGGACGTGACACGGTCGGGACAGGGTGTCTTTGAACTATAGGTCATTTATGTTTGGGAAACTTCCGCCGCCGGCTTGCCCGGGTCTATGTTATGAGTTACAAGTTACGAGCAGATCACACAGGTATCAAATGCAGCTCAACTTGACTTGCAAACTGAAACCAAGATATGAAGCTTCGGAGACCGTCTAGGTCCAAATGCAATTGTTTGCCTTGGCACGGTCCTCCCCAGTCGCATTCAGATATTCAGGCATAGCTGCCTCAATTCTAAAGAACTCACGCAGCGATGGCTAAATCAGCAGACCCTGCAAAGAGGTCTTGCCAAACTCGATGCCTTCACCGTAGAATCATCCCAGGACAATGCAGCAAATGCGCCATCCATCGCCTCAGAATCCCGGCCCTGAGAAACTCCGAGGAAATGAAAAGAACACAACGAAAAATCTAACTTTACCAGTCTCACACCTGCCTTTGTCTCACGCCACTCTGCTGCAGTTTCAAAAGCAGCCAGCATCCTCGGAGGCAATCCAAAACACACTTACCATACCCAAATCCCGAAATCTAGACGCACCCACATCATGTACTCTCCCAATCCATACCACCATACAGTGTATTTGCAATGGCTTTGCAACTCAATTACGTCTAGAGTCTATGTATTATAGTCTCCATCGGTCTCTATATATGTAGCCTGACGGCACATGCAACATCATGTAAAATAAACATCATGTAAGATTGTAAAGCATCACCCGTCTCCCTGAGTACTTCGCTTTAGGTCTGCAACCAGGTTCTGCACAGCCTTCGGATCTTGACCCAGCATGGATCCAGCCTGCGCAATCTGCAGTGGGCATATTAGCCTGCTAAATTGTGGCATGAAAGCGATTGAGATCACGCCTGGGAGGCCATAGGCCTCCGCTTGCCCCCCGCTCCCCAAATAAACACAACTGTAAACCACTTCAACGACTCGCCACCATGGAAAGCGAGGCCCTGACAAGGAAGTGTTTCGACTTCAGCAAATCAACTCTATATCTTTGTTGAGCCAAAATGATGCGGAACACGGACTAAAATCGGCTTAGGATCAATAGACGAGCCTTTAGCAAAGTCAGATTCAAGCTGGTACGACGAGATACAACAGGCATGTTGTCTCAGGGCAAGGCCAACTTCAACATGGCAGGGTCCATCGTGTCACGGGCTACAGGAGTGTCTGATATTGTGACATAGAGCAAAAACTCTTCATCGCAATGGAATCAAACGACTATATTATATAGATGAAAACCCTTTCTGAAACCCCGGGTAACACAGGAGGAACTGCCATGACACACAAACTTTGACATTTCTGACACAACATGCTCAATCCCTCAAAGTTTTCTGGCTTGTCTGGGCCTCACTGATCACATAGAGGCACTCTATGTGTCTATGATTGTCTATGTGGTAAATACGCATGGCAAATACGCATGAATTGATGGTCGGTCTTGCCTCAAAGTAAAGTATGACATTTGACTGTGAGCCTGACTCCAGACCGAATCACATCCGAGTGAGCCGCAAGCTTATCATGCAAAGATAAACACAAGAAGGCTGATTGAATCATTTTGAAATGACCGGGAGAAACAGGTGCAACATTTTGTTTGTATGCATGCATGCATGAATACATACATGTGTATATATATATATATACACTGTAACTATACTGTGTAATACTGTGTATATAACTATATATGTAGTTTTGTAATTATATACATATATACATAATTATATATATAATTATATACAATATACATAATTAAAATATATAATTATACACATAATTATATATATAATTATATATATATATTTATATATACATATGATATATGATGTGTTGTAAATTGTGTCGTTCTTGCGAACGGAGTTTGGACATGTCCTTGGCCAGGCGCTCAAGCACAATGGAGGCATCCAAGCGGGCGTCCATTGTTGGCATCACTCCTTGCAACACACTTCAGAACTTCAGAACTTCTTCAGAAAGGTTCAAGCGCTGAAGATTTTGGAACAACATACGGAAGGAACGTGAAAGGACCTGTCTCATCTACTCTATTTACACAGCAAACACTTGGCACAATCATGTCCACATGGAATTTCTACCGTCTGCTAGTGAAACTCCGTAGCCTTTCTATATCTTTTTATCGAGTTTGTCTAGTAGCGAGGAAAAGGTCCGGTTCATTCCGCTTCCCTAGTGCGACTTTAGTCCAGCCCTAAATTGACTTCATTGAGGAAAGCAGCCTGCTGTGTCCGGCAACTGAACCTTGGTCCAAAAGTTTGCACAGGGTGTGCCACATGTGGTCTGTGGATGTCTGCGGATGTCTGCGGATGCTATGGACTCACAATGCCCACAATGCATCACGACTGTCACGACTGTGGCTTTTACCGGCAACACTGTCTGCAAAATGCTGGGTGTAGACATGAACCTTGAGAAGCGACTCACACAGCCCAGAATTCACATGGATTCGCAGGTGTCACCATAGATTCGTTGCCATCAAAGCTTAGCTATGCTTAGCTCCTAAGCTCCTTGCTTCTTGGCATGGAAGCACCGGATTGTCAGTGCTATGAGATCTCGAGATGTGCGAGAAAGCGCAATGAGGTGGAAGGTCTTGACTTCGTTCATGACAAGCTGGAACTGCATTGCCGGTTGCGAGTCAATTCATGGTCTCCTTGACAAATTCATATGACTTGACATGACTTGACAAAGTCTGCTATGAAATTTATGAAAGGGCCCCTCAATCTGAATGCAAAACCTTTGCCGGCTGCAACGAGGTGTGGAATCAATAGGTCTAATACTATCTGATACTTGCCACAACTTGCCGGTCTTCAAGATTCACAAGTTGCACAATTTTGAATTGGTTGCTCAAACTAGGGGAATCCAACGATGACTTTCTGCTTGTACGGCGACATGCCTTGGATGTATCCAAAGGATGGATGATGACCTTGGGGTAGTCGGGCGAGTACCTCCGACACCACCGCTCGTGTAGTGATTTGCATCACTTTGCAAATCTTCACTGCTTCGATCTCCTTCACTCTTCTCCACCCTTGCCTCTGTTGACTCAAAACCAAACGCCTGTATCAAACATAAATTCTGGGACACTCAGCATAGATCTCTTTGCTGTCCCGATCTCAGTGACACAAGCCAACCACGCGTAGCTCACAAATTTGCAGGAAACCACGATGCGAAAGCACCAAATTAAATGAGGAGGGAGGGAGAGGGAGGGGGAGTGAGAGAAAGAGAGAGAGACAGAGAGACAAAGAGACAGAGAGACAAAGAGACACAGAAACAGAGAGGACAGAGAGACAGAGAGACAGAGAGGACAGAGAGGACGGAGAGACAGAGAGACGGAGAGGACAGAGAGGACAGAGAGACAGAGAGGACAGAGAGACAGAGACACAGAGAGACAGAGAGACAGAGAGACAGAGAGAGAGAGAGAGACAGAGAGAGACAGAGAGAGACAGAGAGAGACAGAGAGAGAGAGAGAGACATAGACAGGGAGAGAGAGAGAGACAGAGAGACAGAGAGACACAGAAACAGAGAGGACAGAGAGACAGAGAGACAGAAAGGACAGAGAGGACGGAGAGACAGAGACGGAGAGGACAGAGAGGACAGAGAGACAGAGAGACAGAGAGACAGAGAGGACAGAGAGACAGAGACACAGAGAGAGACAGAGAGAGACAGAGAGAGACAGAGAGAGACAGAGAGAGACAGAGAGAGACAGAGAGAGACAGAGAGAGAGAGAGAGAGACATAGACAGAGAGAGAGAGAGACAGAGACAGAGACAGAGAGACATAGACAGAGAGAGAGAGAGAGAGACAGAGACAGAGACAGAGAGAGACAGAGAGAGAGAGACAGAGAGGACAGAGAGACAGAGAGACGGAGAGACAGGGAGACGGAGAGACAGGGAGACAGAGAGACAGAGAGACAGAGAGACAGATACAGTCAAACGACAAACTCATGCCTGGGTCAAAACTTGCTAGTAAATCACCATGGAATCGCTGTTTCAAGAAACTCATGCCTAAGTCATGCCCTAATCTTAAAACACCATGGAATCGCGTATGTATAAGAAGAATGTTTCCACACTTGGGAAAATCAAATGTTCGCAAAAATCCATCAGTGGCTTCGCTCTGCCATCCGTGGTTCACAACAACCAACCTCTCCTATAAGTTTCCTATTTTTGAAACCACGACGTGCCGAACGACGTCCGAACGACGTAGCAAACGACGTCAAAAATAACAAGAAAGGCTCTCTGCCCACCCGCCTGCGGAACCACATAAGAAACTAAAACCGACACGACGACACAACAATGACCCTTCTCACCTCCATCTCAAGCAACACGCTGAAGTGCCACAATGCCGCGTTGAGCACGCAGTGAAAAGTGAAAATGGCTGCCGCAGCACACTGGAAAGAAAAAGATAGAAACACCAACTCATCGCTACACTCACATCCAGTTTGACTTGGTATGGAAAAGGTTACTCTTGATGCTAAACACAACCTAAACGCAAGATTTATTAACAATATGGAAAAGGTACTCTTGATGCTAAACACAACCTAAACGCAAGATTTATTAACAATATGGAAAAGGTATCCTTGATGCTAAACACAACCTAAACGCAAGATTTATTAACAAAAACTATTCCAAAGACCAAATCCAACAAAACATTGCAATTCCTATGCGTTTTACTAAAAAGGCACGACTTTTCAAATCAAGTGCTCCCCAGCTATTTACGATGATTTTCAAATTTTAGGCACGACTTTAGCATTCCACTGTAGAGAGAGAGAGAGACAGAGGAGAGAGACAGACAGAGAGAGAGGGAGAGACAGAGAGATAGAGAGAGAGAGAGCGCGCGAGAGAAGGAGATAGATGAGATAGAGAGAAGGAGATAGAGAGAGATGGGGACAGATAGGGAGAGATAGGGACAGATCGGGAGAGCTAGAGCAACATGGAGCGAGATGGAGATAGATAGAGCTGGAGAAAATGCAGATAACCTGGGAACTGCAATGCTGCTTGTAAACCACTGTCCGTCCAGGAGAGAAACGAGAAAACAGGGCTCAAAGCAAACAGCTCTTGCACTCCCTTCTGCAGGCTCGAATGAAAAGGAACGTTGTCGGTATGGCAGAGCTTATGTGGAAAGAATCGGAAGAGATGTGGATGCAGTGGCCCCAGTGACCCCAGTGGTTACTTGTGAGTCAAAACAGCTTTCGTGAAGAAGCCGTCGAAATCGGCGCCACCAAGGATCCCCGCTCTGGTAGCCAGACCCTTGGGCAGCGGCCACCTGTATTCTGACAAGGTGATGCTGAGTACCCTTTTTGCTCGGTTTTTCTCAAAGGAACATTGCTTGCTCTCACTCAATCAACAAAGTCAAATTCCTTGGAAGCAATCGGAAGCAATCAGAAGAGGAATGCCTACAATTCGCTGCTTAAGCTACTGGCTCTGACACCTTCAGTTGATACGTGGATGCCCATGTCCTTCCGAAGCGGTTCCATGACACCCGTCTTTGACAAAAATCAACGCCTACAATGGGACCTAAAACAAACATCAGGAGTTCGTGACATTCCGGCATGATTCAAATTGATGGCAAGCAGGATTCTGTGGTGTCGAAAGGTCCATGACCCCTTAAGTTCCTTAAAGGCTGAGCCCTCTGCCTGACGGCCGGTTGCTGCTTCCCCAGGAAGCTTGGACTGCATCACAGTAAACCTGTACCAAAATGCACAAACAGCAGTGAAGTGATGTGAAGTGATGTGAAGTGATGTGAAGTGATGTGAAGTGATGTGAAGTGATGTGAAGTGATGTGAAGTGTAGTCCAACGATGTGCAACGCGTCTAGAGCACGGAAATGCACTGCAGCAAGTCCTGTGCTTTTTCTGCCTGCTTCCGCCAAGTCCCAATGCGTTGTCCAAACTTCGTCGCGTCGCAGGATCAAGCTCGAAGGGACCAATCTGAGCAAAGTACGAAAGCAACCCTGAGTTGATTATAAATTCAAATGACTCCAACATGCTGTAGCTCAATCTCACGCGTAAACGTTGTGAACAGTTTTGAATGCTGCCAGTTTTTGTGCCATGCCTCACTGGTGTAGAGAGGTGTGAATATGCTTGCAAAATGTCAAGCTATGCACAATATATCTTACAGTACAAGGACACATTCTGCACATGTCAGTACTAGTCTGTACGACAACAAGCACAGTAGAGGTGTGTGTGTGTGTGCGTGCACATGGAGACATATGCAGAACGAGCACTGAGCACTGTTGCAAACCATAATATCCAGCTTGCGCTCTGTGAGTATGTAGTCTAGGTTCATCACCCTGCTTTGTAATCCTTCAGACTTCAGACTTACACATATTAGCACTTTTATAATCTTTTATATGCATGTTTTTTTTCTACTTTTCCAGCATCTTACAACAGTGTCTGCAACGCCTCACCTCGCCCACAACAATGCCGTGGTGACCATCATCAGCATCTGCTGGCTGTGCCTTCGCGCCAACAGAGGCTGTGTTCCCCTTGCACAATTCTTCCATGTTCTGCATGCCATATTAAATATGATGCTTGTCCAATCTTGTCTGTATTCAATGTACTTCATACATCTTCAAAATGTTCAAACAATATGTAATATGAAATAGTATGAAAGACGCGTGAATGGTAGAGAAATGTACAGAATACTTCTCAGTGTTTCTCAGCCTCCACGGAAATATCCGTCCCAACATCGTCGGCTGAGATCTGATACCTTGCAAGAACTTCTGTACATCTGTGTACATCATGATTTGTTCAGGCTTTAAAAAGCTCTAAAAAGCTGTTGAGGAAAGGATCTCGTGTGTTGCTATGAAGCGATGTCTCTCCATGCTATGAAAAGCTACGGTCCGCACATGTTTGAGGTGACGCCGGGAATCTCAACTGGCAAATCTCCCACGCGTCGTCTCCATTTGCACTTCAAGGGTACCTCAATTTGCAAAGGGCTTCTTTGGCTTGCTTCACACAGCGAGCATCCGGCTGGATTACATCACTCTCCTCATATACCTAGCAAGTTCACTAGGTTCACTAGAAACCTGAACCACTCTTCTGCTTGAAGATCTGCGGTATACTGAATGCCGATTGACAGAATCTGTCCCACCAGCAGAGTTGAAAAACTAGGGATCCTCACATGGACAAACTACAGCAACTTTTGACTAAGCGAGAGGTTTTTTTTGCGGGGATAGCCCTCCATTCACCCATGCAAAGTTCAAGCAGACTGGATGGAGACAGAATACCTTTGTCACATTTTGTCACACATTTTTCCACATCGCTGTGGCGTGCGCCGCTCCAAACACTCGTTCGCGGCGTGCGATTGGCTTCTCAAAGATCCTATGCGTAGGACTTTTCCCTCTCCCCTTCAGCTGCCTCCGCGACTCCATGACCTATCCTTGCTTGTTCTACGATACAGCTGGGAGTGGCCTGGAAACAAACAGCAGTTTGTGACCGAGAGATGTTTGCATGATGTTGCATAGACAAACACATCACTTGGAGGATTTGTGAAACATCCCTGGGCAAACAAGCACCAACAAGCATTCGCAGCATTCACGACCGTGTAGCTTCAAACACTCAGCTTGGGAAATCTCAAAGGATCCTTAGCTTGAGGACTTTGAGGGCTTTGAGTTCTTGGTGTTAACAGCAAGTGCAAGTCTTGACACATGACATGTGACTGGACACCTTGCAAAAGAAACTCCAAGATCCTTGCTATGAGGTGGTCTCTTTAGCAATACGAGCCTGCAGATTGAAAGAGAAGCTATGCGTGCCATTCCGGCTGACCGTATATCAGAACTGCACATCCACTAGCTGCAGTTGATCAACTATGAATCGTAACACGCCGTAATCGCGGGCCCACAATGCTTCATTCATCAAGTAGTATAATCAGATATCATCAGTATGTAATCGAATCGGTTTTATTGGCCCCAATGCACTCGCTTGCTCTATTTTGCTCCCTTTGCTTTGGGATGCTTTGGGGCCATCATTGAAGAATCGCATTGTCTTGTGGCATTCCTGTGGCTTGTGTTGCTTTTTATTTTGACTTTGTGGATCATTGGCATAGTTCCGAAATCTGATGAACTTCTCTCATGGTTTGTGGCTCTGTGGGCAGGCCTTTGTGTTTCGTTTTGCTATCCCTAAGGTCCGAGGTCAGATCCTCTAGCCGAGACTGTTTCAAGTTTTTGTGATCTTTTGTGTCTGACCCCGTGTATTTCCTGGCTGCATTCAGATCCCTTGGCTGATTCATGCCAAATCCTTTGGGTCCTTATGCGTCTATCATTGTCTATCTGGTCTATCTCTGCCGATCTAAAGCCTTGGCCACAACAGTTTGGACTTTGTATCAGTTGACATCCTTTTTGTACGCATTTCAGGCGTTCTGGAAGAAAGGAATTAACAGGAGTTGCTGTAACTCTGCCCGACTTGAAAGCTTGCAGGTGGTAAACCTGTGAGTAGTCGTACATGACTTGGTGGGAGACTGGGATCTAGCAGAAGTGAGCGATCTCAAATTTGATCAAATTTGGTAATAAAATGTAATAAATACCTACAGCAATGCAGGCAGGGACAGCACGCAATTCCATTGTTGCTTCCAAAACAGTAGCATCTGTGAACTCTCAAGGCTCCTCGATTCTTGCTTTTGCTGCAGCTGCCCTCTTTCGCTCTTCATCCACCCAGTCAAGATCGTCAGGACGAAGCTGCAAGTTCAAGAAAATGGAAAGAGCCGACTTAGTCACGCTGATGTTTGACCCATTCAGAAATCTCTCGAATGACTATTGGCATGCGCCTTGTAGACTGTGAACGCAAATTCTGCAAGGCAGAAACTGACAACTCCAAGTCCCATGAGAAATATCCTGCAAGACTTCAGCCCAACTCAGCATTTCTGACGTCACACTTTAACAGAGCACTTCTGCAATGCCCCGGCCATTACACATTAAGGTGACACAATTTGCTTCCAAACGTCCTCAGCTCTTGTGAATATCTTGCAGGTTTGCCCAACATGAACTGATGATACCTGGCAAAGACATTCCAGGATCCTGTGATGCATCCACCACAAAATCAGAACCCCGGGATCCCTTGCCACTTTCGCCACTTTTTTGTAGACCAAATCAACATGGAATTATATAGTCTCGACAAAATCCATTTCCAACCCCTCACTCCGAACCCTCTATAGAATCAGGATCGCTCCAGGTCAAAAACTGAAGAATGGCAACATCCAAAAAAACAAACAGGGACAGCCCGAGAGTTTTTTTTTGTGCTTTATACACCTGCAATGCGTTAGTCTTCTCTTTGCAATCTCACCTTTGGAGTTTCTTTCCTTTTTACGGCATACAAAAAAATCGACGAAAAACAAAAAAATGCAAACCTCCTGTCATTTGTTTTTGTTTTTGTTTTGTTGTGTCTTGGTTTCTTGCTTTTTAGGTTCGTTGTTTTTTTTGAGGAGCTGGCAAAGCAAAAAAAATGGCGGGACCTATCTCTGTGCCACTTCTCCCCCGCTAGCGTTTGCAAACTTGTTTTTGGTTGTTTGCTTTGGGTCTGTGGTTTCATTACAAAACCATGTAAAAACTATGAAAAATGCAGGTATCATTGGGGCAAGCTTAGGGGTTTTGGACATGGATTAGGCAATGTTGTCTTTGATTTAATTTTCAACATATACCAAAAGACTATGCAAACACATAGGCAGCCAGTGAGTTTGTAGGACAGATTTTGATATTGACATTGTTGAGTCAAATCCATCAGTCAACACATGTTCAAACACTTTATAGCGACGGACAATCACTTAGAACATCCTTTGGAAAACACTTTTTTGAGCACAGTGAAAGCTATGTTTAAGAACATCTGAAAGTCCCCACACTTAGAACTTCCCAAGACATTACAACAAATATATTCTATAGTGATTTATTGACACGACTATAATTACATGAACATAAAGTCATCAATCAGCTGTGGAGACCCCCACACTTAGAACATCCCAAGACATTACAACATATGTATTTTTAAAATGATCCATTGACATAATTATTCTTATATAAAATGATCTATTGACAGAAAAAAAACACTTGAACGAGCTCTTGTTTGTAATGTTATGTGTGGGCAGCCAGGGTCAGTTGCAAGGAACCTCACACTTAGAACATCATCAACCTACATATAGGATGTTCTCACTGATTTTGCTCTGGATGTTCTAAGTGTGGGAGTCTCTGGATGTTCTAAGTGTGGGAGTCCAAAATTTTGGAAAACATTTGATAGCAATTATCCGGCGGTCCGGCACTATAAATGATTCCCTTGAAAGGAGTGATGCATCTCTTTGACATGAGTGCTTCCTTCAACATATGCATTTCTTTTCAAATGGTAGAACGTTGCATTGAAGATCATTGAAGGACATGTCTACTTCTATATCAAAAATGAATATATAAATGAATCCTTTTGCGCATGCCATTCCCTTTTCACAATACTTTTCAGACTTCTTAAATCCTCTAGGATGCCATTTTCGGCGAATGATATATTTTTTGATTTTTATTTGTGTTTAATGATGTGCGGATATGTTTGGTTACTCTTAAGACAGTCAAATAGTCACTTGGTATTTTATGATATTTTCCACTTTACCCTTTAACCGTTAAACAATCTCATATTTGGACTGCCGACTAGTGTTCACGAGAAACATTGCATTTCGATATCGGTCACTGCCGGTTGTTTGAACTCCTCTGGGGGGACTTGAAGTATTGCTATTGTATTTGCCTACGCGTAAATTGAAAGTGAGGAAACCTTGTAGCATCATGCCTTGCATTCGGTAATTTATCTAGATCACATCCAATCTGAAGCAGTCTGATGATTTGTCATCTCCTATTTGGGGTTTGGATTCTGCCATGTATATCAATGGCATGCAGCTTTACTAAAGAAGAAAATAGTAAATTCGTTTCTAAATGACAACTTTAGTTTGGCATTCAATTTTGGGGGGTCAGAACCTGATTTTTTTTTTAATGTGGTGAATGCAGGCATGCAGTTGTTTATTCGTTTGTTTATGTCTAATAATTCTAGTACTTGCACAATTGTTTTTTGATACAATACCTTTCTGAATGAAGATTCAATATTTTTGGCCTTTTTTGTGATATCCTTGGTATATATGTTGTCTGCAGTTTCAATGAGAATTCATTATGTATGGGCGTTGGGTTGATTTTTTTATTTAGGGCATGCAGCCATGTTCATTAGAATTTGTGGCTTGAAGTTGGCCAAGAGGATTCTTTTTCCCCACTGCAGTGCTCCCAATGAATTGTCAAAAATAAAATCACATGCTTTTAGTGTGTCTGTGAAGAACAGTAACTTATCGCAGGAAGTTTAGAAGTCAAACTTCCGACAGTGTGGACAGATGAAAAGCAGAGATGGGAAGAGTCAGAGAAGAGAAGAGAAGAGAAGAGAAGAGAGGAGAGGAGAGGAGAGGAGAGGAGAGGAGAGGAGAGGAGAGAGAGAGAAGAGAAGAAAGAAAGAGAAGAGAAGAGAAGAGAAG